CAATCTTCGTGGTCCTTTTCGAAAACCACTTTTTGTGAAAAAGTTTCCTCAATAGAGATTATTATTACAATTGCGATTGTTTAGTGCAGTGATGACCATTGAGAGTTAAACATGGTAAGTTTAGCGTTTACCTTACTGACGTCAAGATGTCAGTGCTTCATGAAACAAAACTAATTCGATATCTATTACCTCAACTTGTTTTTACTACAATAGGAAAGCGTGGCAATTTTGTTGAAGTAAATAACGTGTCCACTGTAACTGAACAGGAAACATGGACACTACTTGGTAGTGTTTAATGCGATATTCATTTATCAAGTATGGGGGTGTTAAGAATACAAAAATATAGAAAATCCAGACCTGGTAGCCTCTAAGGATAGTTTAAAATATGAAAAATGTTTCTTGCAACTGGTTTTTGGTCCAATATTGGCAGCTTACTTTATCCCTATAAAATTAGCTTGAAAGAGGTATCAAATTATTCCATTAGCTTAAAAGCCTTGAATAGAGAAAATGTGGTAATATTTTTCCACTCATGAGTTAAAAGAACGTGATCCTATTTCCCGGTTTAAGAGATTTAGTGTAACAGAAATTGCAATTAATTAGTGGACGAAGAGTTATACATGGTAAGGTTAGCGTTTACCATACTGGTATGACTGTATCTAATTCCAAATTAGTTAAGATAGTAGATTTTTCAATTTAAATAATAAATATTTAAGATAAAAGTTCTAGATCCTTAAGATTTTTGCATTCAAATCGTTATCGTCATTTTCACTCATGCCATGGCTAATTTTTTAGTTACTTTGGTTTTAATCGTCTTATAATAGTGAAGTCAATTCTTACTCTTTTGAATTTTTCTCAAAGTTTTCGATATCTTTGTCATTCCGAAGGAAACTTCATTGTGTTTTAAGGTACAAAAATGCTAAAGAGTAAATATTGAACCAAAAAGAAGCGAGCCGGGAATACCAATTTAAGAGAACTGCTGATTGCTGGAGAAATTTAAGGTGATTACTTCAAAATGTAGCACCTAGTCTTTATTTGAACGTGAAAGATCAGTCCTGTTTATTTCATATCGAGGTATGATTAATAAGAACTAAATCCTCTGAGGTAGGTTTCTGAATAACACCTTGGCCTTTATTGAACTTTTGCAACACAGTAACGTAAATAAGTGCTCGTTGAGGGTGTGCAGATCATTATTGTGTAAAAATTTCTTAGGCTAAAGATAGGGTAAATCATGTCCAATTGGCCCGAGGTCTTTGTAGTACGGAACTCGCTGCTCTCGGTCCGTATTAAAACCACAGAGTGTCAATGTTCACCAGTACGGCGCGGCTTGAGCAAGCGAGTTTAATAAGTAAAGATTATTATGTGGTAGTCGGACCAAACTTGTTTAATCAAAATTTGTTCACAGACAAAATAACGACCGAGTGAGAACCGATCAGAACGCTCGGATTTACCTCAGGAATATCTTGCCATATAATTTTGATGAATATTATTAGTATTATAGATCAAAAATTTATTTGAAGGCTATAAATGTGAGGGTGTTCAGCTGAGTCATTCTGCAGAGCTGACTTTACAAAAAGGCCACCGAACATTAACAAAGCAAAAATGACGTAAATCCTTCCACAATTTTTGAGATTCACATACTTTACAAAAGTTTGGATGGAAATGAACAGAGGTCAATGTTTTTCATTTTCGATAATTCGTTCTGCAATTCGTTCTGTATTGTTTTTTTTTTTAATAAAGCAACGCAACTTTTATTTCAGATCAAAACTGATCACTATAGGCCTGAGAAATCCTCATTTGCGTCCTATTCACGAAGTGAAGTCAGAAAAAGAACAGTCGACAAAGGCCAAATACTGGAAGTATTATCAACCTCAAAGAGAAACAAGGCTTCAAAAGACATCAACATTAATTTGTTTTAATAGCTCAACTAATCAATGTTTGTAGTCGATTTAGTATGAGGCGAGATCAAACTACAGCTTCAAAAATTGAAGCTTTTCGAAATCAGTTCATATATCGTCCTCTTCGTGCGATGGAGCTGGCTGTTGCTTTTCAGGAATTGTTGCGTTTCCCATGTAGGAATTGATTTTACATTTTTGGAAATGGTTTATGTTCGTGATCATTCTCAATCATTCAGGCCAGATGGACAACTTGGCATCTGAAACATGACAGATGCTTGATTGAATTTGTCACTTCAATAAGCATTCGGCGAGAACTAGTTGAAAATATTGCCGGAGCCGCTGCTGCTGCCATTAGCTGAGGCGCAGGTGTTAACTCGATCTGAATGGCTGTTGAAGTTTCTAGCGTGGCTGATGGTGTGGGAAAGCTATCGCTTTCTTCCTTCATCTCTTTTGAAACAATTATCCGGTGACTTCTCGTTCCCTTGGCTCGTTACTTTAAAAACTGAAGCTAGTTCTAGGCCTGCCGTCTTCAACTTCTTTCGACAGTTTTCAAGGCGTTGCGATTGGAAACATTTGCATCTAAATAGATCTCAAGATTGCAAGGACAGTATTAGTGCAAAAGAGATAAGCGTACGAGCTGTACACAGAAATCATTTTTATGAAGATTGCAACGGTAATTGCCTTTAATCTCCTGCCCAGAGGGGCTGGGCTTTGCGACCTCGAAGACTAAAATATTGGGTCACGAGCCACGAAACTGTTTGGAAAAGTATTCGCAGACCTCCCTATCCCGGCTCTTTTTTTCTATAGATCATTTTCCTCGGTTATTGTCTGACTTCTTTCCTTGTTTGGCCGCTTGCCTTTACTTTATTGCCGAAAAAGTGGGGCTTTACCCCCAAGAATTTGCTTCGAGCTTTGAAACTCTTTGTCACAAATAATCGAGCGTTTGTACTTTTTCTCTGTAAGGATATCGGTCAATAGCAGTGAGAATTACACGAAATCATAAGTTTTGGTCAGACCTCCGGTTCGTTCTTTCCAATAATTTCGTCATAGAGGCCACCGATTTCCATACTGAAATCAGTTCTGATGCTCTATTTAGTACTTCTTTCTTTGTATTTTCTTTCAAACTCTTAGTTAAAACGTCGTGCCTTCTCTCCTAACCTATTCGCCATTTCGATTTGTTGTACGTTCGCGACTTATCTGTCTATCAACTTAATTTCAACTTTCTACCCTAAATTTCAACTTTCGCACTCATTTTTAATGTTCTGCACTGTTTGATCACGAGATTAACTGAAGAGTTCTCAGCTAATGAATATGCTGAAATTTTTTGCATGGATACTGTAATTGAGTGTGTGTTTTGGCGATATGTCGATTGTACGATTTTGTCTCTGAGTCTTCGTTTAGTGATGCGAGTTTGAAAAGATGAAAGATAGTTTCAGATGGGTGCTCTTGTTTAAAGGAAAATAATTCAGAAGAGTATGTTTTAAAAAAAAACTTTGGAAGGAAGTCTTTTTAGTTTCTTTAGAAATCCTTGTCAACTACTTTGGAAAAGTTGAAGGAATCTTTTCTTTTGTTTGATATATTCCTCGCAACATTCAGCTGAGAGTTGCCACATATTCAGATTTTTTTCCATCTCTCTCATTTCTCCATTCAATAAGGTAAGAATAGTCGATGTGTTATACATTTCTCAAAAATTATCCACGTTAATAATTCTATTACCACAACAGCGATGTGATAGACTTCTCTGAAGGTCACAATTTCTTGACGGCATTGAACTCCTGATATCTCTCTCTTGTGAGAGGTAAGGACTCAGAGCGCAAAGTCACGACGTGATATAGGCCCTTTGATTTTGACTTAAACATGCACTTTTTCATACCTAATGTAACTCATTATTATGATTATTACGTGAAACGTGAAACTTCAAACATGCTTTTAATTCAAATGAATATTAACAAGCACGATTTAAGCATTTTTACAAAGGTGTAGAAGGTGCTGGATTATTAAATAATTAAGGGTAATCAGCTTTACAAGGTACAAGTTTTACAGCTGTTGGATGGGTAAAGCAGGTTGGTCGCCTACTTCTCTTAGGAGATTCAGCTCATGTTTCAATCCTCCCCAGAAAATTAGAAGGGCTCTCTGTTCGTTGATGTCTTTAATTTCATTTACAAATTTTTCCGTTGAGCTCTGATCATCACGCCTGTTTTCTTTAAAAAAATCTTCCTCGTACACGTTGCCCGCTGGATTTTGCACTTCTGCTCTTGCCAACTCAGGATACAGCATACTACATGGAAGCATGGCTAATGCGAGGTGTTCAGGACCAACCTTACTTAGGAATTCCTTGTACGCTTGGAGTGCTGTACCCTCCTGGCCTTTCCCCGATAAAGCTTTTTCCCGGATGAAATTCTCGTGAAGATGATAAAATTTCATGGACTGTCTCCAATAAAAATTAGCGTACTCTTTATTGTTTTGGTCATCCATTTTCACTGCAGCGAGACGATATACATCGGCTACATGGTAGAAATATGCAGCATCTTGTTCAAGAAAGTTCCTATAGTTGCTCAAGGGAAATTTTCCTTGAGCCATTCTTTTGATAAACGTGATGGACAATGCTTCTTTGATGATCTTTTGGCTGGTAGGATTCATAAACAGCTTTTTGCTAAATGGAGTGTAAAGTATCAGGGATTTTTCCAACGTCTTTTCCCCCACACCTTGAAACTTTTTATGAGAAAGAACTCTGTTGGGTGTCTTGAAATGCCATTTATCCTCTCCAAAGAGATGTAATGCGATTGATGACTTTTTTTTTTTTAAGAAGCTTTTTAATAGGATTCGTTTTGTGAGGGCCATTTGGTGATTCTCTCTAGGCAAAGATAGAACTACGCACGAATGCGGATCAAGTAACAAAGACCTGTTTAAGAGATGCAACTGTTTGAAATTTAATTAACGGTCTTAAAATCAAAGCAGGCAGTTAGGGGGATGAGATAGATGGCAGTGCCCTATGATTCTCAATTGATCAATTAGAGAGACTTGTAGAAGAGATTTCTGTGTTGCGTTTGGGCTCTATGTATATTTTAAAAGTGTACTCACCGTACCTTTCAATGGGTCTTTCCACTTCTTTTGAAGTTCAGTTCGGTTGCTTGATACGGCAAGTGCTTCCCTTTTTATCAATGAGGGCCATTCGGTAGCGGTTTCTTTTGTTTAGGAAACAGAAATCAATTATCATTTAAAAGTATCTTTGAAGCAGAGCGAGGCAATATGTTTGCTCAACTCGGCGATTTACTTCAATAATTGCTCCAGAAATATCCAGTTTGGGAGATTTTGCGCCTTTTCTCGGTAAAACCATCATATCCGGATTCATGGTGTCATAGATAATTTCATTGTCGATGAAATAAAAGAAAAATAAATAAATAAACGAAACCTGAAAAAGGGAAAAAAAGACTCTCTGGCTCTATATTTCCTACTTTCGCCACATTTTGGACGAAGTTTGTGACTGAACGTGTGGGTATTAATTACATACAAATTAAAAATAATGTGATACAATTATAGACTTTCCCTCCTTAGCTAAGTAAATGCCTTTAAATGTTATTACCAACCGCAGGAACGTTTCTCGCAGTGATGATAGTTGCCACAAACACTGTTACAGCAAGAAGGATCCAAAATTTCACAACTACCATTATGCCAGCCTTGAATGTAGGGTAGGAAGATCGTCGACGTGCCAAAATTTCACGTGTACTGAATAAGTAAGTAAAACAGAGCGAAAAAGGATTTTATTTTTATAATTTTATTGAAACTATAGTTGGAAAGTATTCACCGGAGTAGAGGTCATTAGGGAAGCATGTATCGTCCCCTTTTCATCGATGCTATATCGAATGATAATTTACTCTTCGCCAGAGCTCCAAACTCACCCGTGAGCTTAGTCCCTCCCATGGTCTAATCCTTTTTTGGAATGGATTATAGACAACATTCTCATGAAAGTGTAATGGGAAAAGCCTTGATCGTCGTTTCCCCTTTTTTCTACGGCTTAAAAAAATTAAGTTATTTCTAATTAAACTATTCAAAAGAAGTTGAATTTTGTCGAGATATTTTCCTTGAGAAACTCTAGTTAAAAGAATTAGGAGGAAATTATGAAGGTCAGGTAATCGATATTTTCGCGATAATTCTCGTGAAATCCCATATCTAATGGTCACTTACCAAGCACAAATGTGTCAAAGATACAGCCACAATATGATGAAATAAACTTGGTAGCTCCTAATTATGGTTGAAAAGGTGATAATGTAATGGTTATAGGTCTATTGTCCTTTAATGGGTTTTTACCTCATAACTTTGAAATTAGCACTATTTTAGAGAGGAAATTTTTTTCCACCTGCTTAAAAGCTTCTAAATAAGAAAATTACTGAATGGAGTCAGCTAGAATTACAGCTCAAGATTTTAAAGAATGCTAATTCATGACAAAGTCTCAAGGAATCTCGGGGAGTTGCTAAAACACCTGCACCTCAAACAATAACATATCCCTTGATGAATTCTTAAAACGTCGTAGGAAGTTTTAGTAATATAAGTTATGTTTTGTCTCCCCTTGATACGATTTTTAGTCTTATTCATTAATGTCAAATCATCATTGCAACACTGGAAGTCCCTTAAGGCCCATTCCACGACACGAAAAACCCGCGACACCGTGAAGAATTTGTGCAGAAAATTGTGAACTTCTTCTGGAAACGTTAGAACAGAGACGTACTACTAAGGAAGGCATGGCACACAGAAAGGCGAAACGTAGAAGTCGATGATATTGTAGTCATGGCGGACTACAGTACTATCCTTAGTAAATGGACCATCGGCAGAGTAATCGAGGTGTATCCCGGGACAGATGGCCGAGTCCACAACGTCACCAAGATTGCTGTTATATATCTTGCTGAGGGAAACGACTCGAGAAAGTTAGGCTGACTTCAAGAAAGATAAGGACTACGTCCTTATCGGGGCGGAGAATGTTTCGTGTATCAAATGGGCGTTTCCTCTTGCTAATAGACTTACTTAATGACAAGAATTGTGATTGACATTAATTTTATAAATTGATTATGAGTGTAGGGTCATTATGTTTCAAGCCCACTCAGTTTTTCACCGGAATCTAGGTGAGAAAGAAGTTATTTTGTTATCATTTTTTCTGTCTCTTAATCCGCTTACCTGGAGAATCTGCTAAACTGTAAAGTGAAACTGTTGTAACGACTCGCCACAGAAGTAAGTTTAGTTTGAAGTTTTTTTAACTTAGCTACGAGATGAAGACTTGATTTGCGTTTGTCCTGATTGCGAATTATAAATGTATTTCTTTTAGATCGAATAATTATTAAAGCTTGGCTTGTTATTATACGGTTTGTTGTGGTCATTTGATATAAACTCATTCAGAAATCACTCGTTTCGAATAATTTTACTCTGGTATCATGTGGCAACCGGGATGAACTCGTTCTTGAATAAAACTCATTCCAATATCATGTAGAAGGCCCCTAAGAGTTTTTATTCCCGAAGCATCACGCTTTGCACTCCTGCCAGAACACTGTAAATTTCAATAGCGTTGAAGCAACAACCTGCTTTTAACTGCTACGCTGCTACTGAAACAGCGATTAGTGACCACAAAAGTAACATATTGTGATATTGTCAATTCAACATAAACAAAAATCTTCAACCAGGGTAAATATTCATTTGTGTTGGTATCAATTATTGCGTGACTAGCTGATGATATAAATGGGGTGGGGGGAAAACACAACCTAAAACCTGGGCTGCTGGCAAAAAGTAATACCTAAGCGTAACATAATAACCGAAACAGCTTATTGGCCTTGTAAAACCATAAATAAGCAAGGTAAGAGTGTTATATTAGATTTTTTTTACAAATTGTAATGATTTATGCCAGTTAACGGTGGCGAGAAGTAGGCACACCATGTGTATTTTATAGTCTCTAGCAAGTAAATTTTTCCGGACTTTGAGTTCGTCTCACGATAGAACAACACAAATACACAAGGAAATTTTTACAGTAACTTTATAACCATCCTTTTGTATTTTAAAAGCTAGAAGCTCAGTAGATTTTGTCATATCGGTCATTGTTAAAGCTGTCTTTGTTTTGATGCTACTTTTCGACATAGAAAAAGTATGTCGGACAAAAATATTCACCAAAAAATTAAATGTTTCTTTTCCAGCTTCAATATTGACAGGGGATCACACAACTCAGGTGATATTCACGGTGAAAATTTGTATATTTGAGCAGTCGAACGAAAAAAAAATCATTTCTCGAAAACTAAAATATATTTTCCCAAAAAAACTACACCACAATTATTAGGACATATTGGGCTAGAAAATATGAAAGTAGGAGAGAAAGCAAATTTTGGGTGACTTGCCGATGTTTGTCTGATGCATGTTGACATTAGCTCTTAAATTGTAATAGGTTTTCGTTCGTCATTTTGTTTGCAAGTTTAACTGGCTCTACCAACTAGTACTTGAGTTGTTACAACAGAATAAATCATTAAGGCCGCGTTAAATTAAATACTGTCTATTTATTGCTGAAGTCGCCCATGGCAGTCACACATGCTTTGCTTCAAATGAAACTAAACAAGCACGTTTTAAGCATTTTTACAAAGGTGTTTCCTTTAAGCTGAATTATTAAAGAATTAAGGGTAATCAGCTTTACAAGGTACAAGTTTTACAACTGTTGAATGGATAAAGCAGGTTGGCCGCCTACTTCTCGGAGGAGATTCAGCTCATGTTTCAATCCTCGCCAGACAATTGGAAGGGCTCTCGGTTCGGTGATGTCTTTAATGATGATTTCATTAACAAACTTTTCCGTTGAGCTCTCATCATCACGCCTGTTTTCTTGAAAGAAATCTTTCTCATACACGTTGCCTTCTGGATTTTGCACTTTTATCCTTGCCAACTCAGGATACAGCACACTGCATGAAAGCATGGCTAATGCGAGGTGTTCAGGACTAACGTTACTTAGGAAATCCATGTACGCTTTGAGTGCTGTACCCACCTGGCCTTTCCCTGATAGATCTTTTTTCTGGATGAATTGCTTGTGAAGATCGAAAAATTTTGCGGACTGTTTCCAATAAAAATAAGCATAATCATTTTTTTTTTGGATTTCCATTTTTTTTGCAGCGAGACGATACACATCGGCTACATGTTCGAAATACGCTGCATCTTGTTCAAGAAAGTTCCTATAGTTGCTCAAGGGAAGTTTTCCTTGAGCCATTCCCGTGATAAACGTGGTGGATAACGCTTCTTTGATGATCTTTTGGCTGGAAGGATTTTGAAACAGCTTTTTGCTGAATGGAGTGTAAAGTATCAGGGATTTTTCCAACGTCTTTTCCCCCACATCTTGAAACTTTTTATGGGAAAGAACTCTGCTAGGTGTCTTGAAATGCCATTTACCCTCTATAAAGAAAAATAACGCGATTGTTGACTAAAAATATTTTAAAAGAAGCCAATTTTATCGGATTCGTTTAGTGAGAGCCATTTGACATTTAATTAACGATCTTACAGTCAAAGTAGGCAGAGCAGGGGGATGAGTTAGCTAGATAGCAGTGGCCTATGATTCTAAATGAATGAATTACTGAAACGTGCAGAAGCCATTTCTGTGTTTTGTTTGGGCTTAATGTATATTTTGAATGTGTACTCATCGTACCTTGCAATGGGTCTTTCCATTTCCTTTGAAGTTCAGTTCGGTTGCTTGATACAGCAAGCGCCTCTTTTTTTATTAACGAGGGCCATTCAGCAGCGGTTTCTTTTGTTTAGGAAACAAAAATGAATTATCATTTAAGAGTATGTTCGAAGCAGAGCCAGGCAATATGTTTGCTCAACTCGGCGATTTGCTTCAGTACTCGCTCCAAAGATATACGATAAGGGAGATTTTGCGCCTTTTCTCGGTAAAACCATTATATCCGAATTCATGTTGTCATAGAAAATCTTATTGTCTATGAAATGAAAAAAATAAATAAATAAATAAAACGAAACCTAAGTAAGGGAAAAGAGACTCTCTGGCTCTATATTTACTACTTTCGCCACATTTTGGACGCAGTTTGTGACTGAACGTGTGGGTACTAATTCCTTGAAATTTGAAATCGTTTGATACATTTATAGATATATGAAAATTCACATATTTGCACTGCGGTGGAAAGATGAAATTAGGAGATCCTCGCATCTAAGAACACTACTGAAACGAGTAGTTGTAAATAGGACCTGAAAAAAATTTCAGGCCCGTACGGGATTTGAACCCATGACCTCTGCGATACCGGTGCAGCGCTCTACCAATTGAGCTAACAAGCCAACTGGGAGCTGGTCAATGAATTGGGTCCAAATAAACATCCAAGTGAATGAAGATTTTAGATATATGAAAATTCACATATTTGCTCTGCGGTGGAAAGATGAAATTAGGAGATCCTCGCAGCTAAGAACACTACTGAAACGAGTAGTTGTAAATAGGACCTGAAAAAAATTTCAGGCCCGTACGGGATTTGAACCCATGACCTCTGCGATACCGGTGCAGCGCTCTACCAATTAAGCTAACAAGCCAACTGGGAGCTGGTCAATGAATTGGGTCCAAATAAACATCCAAGTGAATGAAGATTTTAGATATATGAAAATTCACATATTTGCACTGCGGTGGAAAGATGAAATTAGGAGATCCTCGCAGCTAAGAACACTACTGAGACGAGTAGCTGTAAATAATAATTTCATCTTTCCACCGCAGTGCAAATATGTGAATTTTCATATATCTAAAATCTTCATTCACTTGGATGTTTATTTGGACCCAATTCATTGACCAGCTCCCAGTTGGCTTGTTAGCTCAATTGGTAGAGCGCTGCACCGGTATCGCAGAGGTCATGGGTTCAAATCCCGTACGGGCCTGAAAATTTTTTTTTTTCAGGTCCTATTTACAACTACTCGTTTCAGTAGTGTTCTTAGCTGCGAGGATCTCCTAATTTCATCTTTCCACCGCAGTGCAAATATGTGAATTTTCATATATCTAAAATCTACATTTATAGACTTTCATTCCTTAGCTAACTAAGTGTCTTTAAATGTTCTTACCAACTGCAGGAACGTTTCTTGCAGTGATAATAGTTGCCACTAACACTGTTACAGCAAGAAGGATCCAAAATTTCACAACTGCCATTATGCCAGCCTTGAATGTAGGGTAGGAAGATCGTCGACGTGCCAAAATTTCACGTGTACTAAATAGGTAAGTAAAACATAGCGATGTAGGATTTTAGTTTTCAATTTTAATTGAAACTCTAGTTGAAAAGTATTCACCGGAATAGAGGTCACTAAGGAAATATATGTCGTCCGCTTTTCATCGATGCTGTATCGAATGATAATTACTCTACGCCAGAGCTCGAAACTTACCCGTGAGCTTAGTCCCTCCCCTGGTCTAATCCTTTATTTGAATGGATTTGACCTCGTCTTCTTTTTCTCTGCCGGAATTATAGACAACATCCCCGTGAAAGTGTAACGAGAAAAGCCTTTATCTTCGTTTCCCCTTTTTTCTACAGCTTAAAACAAATTGTTATTTCTAATTAAACCATCGCAAAGAAGTTTAATTTTATCGAGACATTTTCCTTGAGAAACTCCAGTTAAAAGGAGTAGAAAGAAATTGCCTAATTATATAAAGCTCAGTTCATCGATAGTTTCGCGATAACTCTGGTTAAATTCCCATATCTAATTGTCACTTACCAAGTACGAATGTGTCAAAGATACAGCCACAGTATGATGAGCTTAACTTGGTAGCTTCTAATTGTGATTCAAAAGGTGATAATATAATGATTAGAAGTCTATGGTCCTTTAATGGGTTTTTCACTTCACAACTTTGAAATTGACACCACTTTAGAGCGGATATTAAGTTAATCCACCTGCTTAAAAGCTTTTAAATGAGAAAATTACTGAATGGAGTCAGCTAGAATTACAACTTAAGACTTTAAAGAATGTTAATTCATGACAAAGTCCCAAGGAATTCCGAGGGGTTGCTGAAACACCTGTCACCTCAAACAATGACATATCCCTTGATGAATTCTTAAAACGTCGTGGGAAGTTTTAGTAAGTCATGTTTTGTCTTCCCTTCGCTAAATTTAATCTAGTTAGAGTTGAACAGAGATCAAATAAAATGTTTCGGCTGAAATTATCTGTTTGGGCTATTGCAAGAGAAGCTGAAGTTTATGGAGAAGTTTTCCTTGAAAAAGAATTATGTGAAAATAGTCCCAGAAGTCTTAAAAAGAACTTGTAGAGCGTGAAGCTTGCTTTATTGATGATCTGGTGAGTTTTGATCCCTTTAAATTTTTTGTGTCTGACGGTGACTTATCAAGTACGGATAAGTCAAGGATACAGGAATAAAGATTAGCTAAACTTTCTAGCTCCTGACTTTGGTTTTAAAGGCAATAATTATTGTTCTACTTTTATAGTCTAATTCATTTATTTATTGCTATGGTGCTTTGGAAGAATTTCGCTAACTTATTGGATTTTTTTGGAGCAATTAGTTTTTGGATGGAGTGTGTTAGAGACCCGAAAGCGAAGACCATAATCCAATCCATACTCACTGTTAATTGTAGCCTCTTAAATTCAAAATTGAGGTTAAGAATCAGTAAGGGTAATAGTGGTCTTTATGTAGTTTTTCTGTCCGAGGAGTTTATTCAAAGGGACTCAGATGTCCCCTGCTTAGTAGTTGCCCTTTGATTGCTTCTTTGTACTGGTTATCGACAACAGTACATTTAAACTGGTGATATGATTATCAAGATAATGAAGGCCATAGATATGATCAAACTTTGAGTTAACCCCCAGCCAGGTCGTCATCTTCAGCGATAACCCTCTTTTTGTGTGGGCGTCTTCTGATTAAAACATTCTTTAGGAAAACTTAATTAAGATGAAACATAGGAGAAAGGAACCAAATTGTTCGCTTAAGGACAAAAAGATCTGGCCTTTCTCAGTCTTTCCATTCTATTTTACCAATGAAAAAAAAAAACGTCACTAAGAGGGAGGACCTATTGATGTCTTACAACTTTTATAACAACGCCAATAATGGCCATTGTTAAAGAAGGAACGTCAAGGTTACTTCAGACAACGTACCTACTTATTGAAAATAACAGCAATTTTAGTTGGCTAGAAATAAGCATAGCGAAAGTTCCAAATATCGGAACTGTGTATTTTCTGGAGAGTTGATGGACTTGTTTCATCTGTTACGAGTACAAGACTTGTGAAAGCTGGATTATGGTCTTCGCTTTCGGGTCTCCAACACATTCCATCCAAAAACTAATTGCTCCAAAAAAATCCAATAAGTTAGCGAAATTCTTCCAAAGCACCATAGCAATTGCAAAGGACGGGCTAAAACTTAATCACTAACAATTTCAAACTAATTTCCCTTTGATAAATAGACAGATATGAAGAACTGAAAAGTCTTCCAAGATGGCAGCTAATACCGCGGAGACTTGGGCTGAATTGTGATCTTATGGAGACAAATTGCCGTCCAGGCAAAAACTTCTATTTTGAAAGAATGGTAAAAACGCATTTTTTGCGGAGGAAAATGTCTCTTGTTGAGCGAAAAGAGAGGTTTGAAAACAGTTTTATTTTAACAGAATAAAAATTGACCGGCCAGACGGGCCAAGAGAGCGCTAAAATAATCTAATCACTTTCATCATTTATCGATTCTTGATTTATTAACTGCCCATTGGTGGGCCCATTGCCGATCTTCTGTTTCTTTAAATGTGTGAAACGCAAGCATTTAACAACTATGTGAAACAGTCCTTTTCACAATTGAGGGATAAAACTATACACAGCTAGCGTAAATCTGCGAGGTATAGTATGGAGTTGTATTTTACCAGTTTTCCCAGCGCTATCTGCACTACGAAATTATCATTATCTGGCTGAGGACCGGTGATCGATTTTGATTTGCAACATTGTGCCAAAAAACGTGCATTGAGGATGGGAACGAGTCAAGTGTCGTTTATCTCCTTATTTTCTTTCTAGGAATGAGTAAACTTCGACTTTATTTAAAAAAAAATTGAATGGAAGAATGGTCACTAAATTAATATTTCTTTATTGGTTAATACAAAGGAAAGCCTGGCAGACACCAGCCAAATTTTTCTTTGTTCTAAAGATAAAAATTTTTTCCTTTTCCCAAAAAATATAAGATGAACAGTTTTTCCTTATGATTCAGCCAAACGGCAGTATTTCTGAAGAGTTTATCTTTTTTGTCGACGACACAAACACAAAAATAAGAGATATCGCCGGAGATAATAATAGAATATTTCTTTCCAGTAAAAGAATTATTCTTATCGACCAAGCGTGCAATTGGCAAAATTGGCTGCAATAAGCCTCCCAAGCCAACGGGTTTTTAAGAAAAATAATAAAATCGAATAAAAATGGAATCTCGATTGATTATGGTGACACATGTTTCCAATACCCACCCAAAAATTCAGGTAAATAAATTAGACCATAAAAGTAGGATAATAATCATTGCCTTTAAAACCACAGTCAGGAGCTAGAAAGTTTAGCTAATCTTTATTCCTGTATCCTTGACTTATCCGTACTTGATAAGTTACGGTCAGACACAAAAAATTTAAAGGGATCAAAACTCACCAGATCATCAATAAAGCAGGCTTCACGCTCTACAAGTTCTTTTTAAGTCTTCTGGGATTATTTTCACATTTTAATGCTTTTTCAAGGAAAACTTCTCCATAAACTGCAGCTTCTCTTGCAATAGTCCAAACAGATAATTTCAGCCGAAATATTTTATTTGATCTCTGTTCAACTCTAACTAGATTAAATTTAGCGATGGAAAATATAGCCAAAAATTGCAATGATGAGTTGACATTAATGAATAAGACTCTCAAAAGTAAGATTTGGTTGAAATTTTTAGCGAAATTTGGACACCTTTATTTACCTTGAAAAAGCAATTCCAAATTCGACTGTAGAGATTTCCGAGCTAGTTCAAGTAATTCTATTTTATTAACAGGATAAGTAAATGTATGGCACAGCAGAATTGTAAATGGCAAATTACCAAGTCAAAAAATATTGTTTCGTGTCACAGAATCAAGTAAACCATTTTCCTCCGGAAAAGTTCGCATCAAGAGAAGACAAAACATGACTTACTAAAACTCCCCACGACGTTTTAAGAATTCATCAAGGGATATGTCATTGTTTGAGGTGACAGGTGTTTCAGCAAGCCCTCGGAATTCCTTGGGACTTTTTCATGAATTAACATTCTTTAAAGTCTTAAGTTGTAATCCTAGCTGACTCCATTCAGTAATTTTCTCATTTAAAAGCTTTTAAGCAGGTGGATTAACTTAATATCCGCTCTAAAGTGGTGTCAATTTCAAAGTTGTGAAGTGAAAAACCCATTAAAGGACCATAGACTTCTAATCATTATATTATCACCTTTTGAATCACAATTAGAAGCTACCGAGTTTAGCTCATCATACCGTGGCTGTATCTTTGACACATTCGTACTTGGTAAGTGACAATTAGATATGGGAATTTAACCAGAGTTATCGCGAAACTATCGATGAACTGAGCTTTATATAATCAGGCAATTTCTTTCTAATCCTTTTAACTGGAGTTTCTCAAGGAAAATGTCTCGATAAAATTAAACTTCTTTGCGATGGTTTAATTAGAAATAACAATTTGTTTTAAGCTGTAGAAAAAAGGGGAAACGAAGATAAAGGCTTTTCTCGTTACACTTTCACGGGGATGTTGTCTATAATTCCGGCAGAGAAAAAGAAGACGGGGTCAAATCCATTCAAATAAAGGATTAGACCAGGGGAGGGACTAAGCTCACGGGTAAGTTTCGAGCTCTGGCTTAGAGTAATTATCATTCGATACAGCATCGATGAAAAGCGGACGACATATATATCCTTAGTGACCTCTATTCCGGTGAATACTTTTCAACTAGAGTTTCAATTAAAATTGAAAACTAAAATCCTACATCGCTATGTTTTACTTACCTATTTAGTACACGTGAAATTTTGTCACGTCGACGATCTTCCTACCCTACATTCAAGGCTGGCATAATGGCAGTTGTGAAATTTTGGATCCTTCTTGCTGTAACAGTGTTAGTGGCAACTATTATCACTGCAAGAAACGTTCCTGCAGTTGGTAAGAACATTTAAAGACACTTAGTTAGCTAAGGAATGAAAGTCTATAAATGTATCAAACGATTTCAAATTTCAAGGAATTAGTACCCACACGTTCAGTCACAAACTGCGTCCAAAATGTGGCAAAAGTAGTAAATATAGAGCCAGAGAGTCTCTTTTCCCTTACCTAGGTTTCGTTTTATTTATTTATTTATTTTTTTCATTTCATAGACAATAAGATTTTCTATGACAACATGAATTCGGATATAATGGTTTTACCGAGAAAAGGTGCAAAATCTCCCTTATCGTATATCTTTGGAGCGAGTACTGAAGCAAATCGCCGAGTTGAGCAAACATATTGCCTGGCTCTGCTTCGAACATACTCTTAAATGATAATTCATTTTTGTTTCCTAAACAAAAGAAACCGCTACTGAATGGCCCTCGTTAATAAAAAAAGAGGCGCTTGCTGTATCAAGCAACCGAACTGAACTTCAAAGGAAATGGAAAGACCCATTGCAAGGTACGATGAGTACACATTCAAAATATACATTAAGCCCAAACAAAACACAGAAATGGCTTCTGCACGTTTCAGTAATTCATTCATTTAGAATCATAGGCCACTGCTATCTAGCTAACTCATCCCACTGCTCTGCCTACTTTGACTGTAAGATCGTTAATTAAATGTCAAATGGCTCTCACTAAACGAATCCGATAAAATTGGCTTCTTTTAAAATATTTTTAGTCAACAATCGCATTAT